ACGGGCCCAAACAGCTCCCCCAGTCGAAAATCTGGACTGGAGTGGACGGAGGATTCGAGGACAGAGTATTCCATGTTCTAGAATTTATCTATTTAGTTTTAGTTGAGTAGACAAGGACCTGGTCCATAATAATTGATGGTTGAGCTGATATATATAACAGCAAGCAATTGCTCTTCCTTCAAAACATAAATATATTACCAAGCTAGAGAATTCAGCAGTAAGCTTTCGGCAGTAAAATATTATTCTTCTTAGACTGTCACTTGTGCCTTCTTTCTCCTAAAATGGAGAGGGAGTGGAGAGGGAGTAGAGTTCAAGACATGAACAAGCTTTTGCAGGTGGTGGGTGTGCAACTTGTTGCCAATTCTGTCTCTGTCTCTCTCCTTCTATATATGTGTCTGTGTGTGTATTTGTTTTTTCTTTTTCTCAAAAAAAAAAAAAAAAACCTGAATTGTTTCGACTCATGTTCTCAGAGTAAGTTGCCTCTGATTGTTTTTAGGCAAATAATTGAGGCAAGTTCAATTATGTATATAGAAACTATCCTCAAAAAAAAAAAAATGTATATAGAAACTTATTTTATCTCTGAAAACTCAAATCTCTAAAAATAGTGTGCAATGTACTAGCTAGGGAATTAGTTTCAGCAAAATGGTTCTTAAAAAAATAAAAAATTCTGCAAAGTTGCTAGTTTTTCCTGGAGATGTCTGAAAGAAGACATTCCGCTTGCATTCACTTTAGTAAAATGCAGCAAATAGCAACATAAAATATGTTATTAATAGTTGGCTCTTGGAGGTTTGTGGGTTTAGACATCGGATGGTTCCAAACTCTGATATAGATCTTAATTTTGTTTGTGTTTCAAATCATCTACCTACCTGAAATTTACAAACGTCAGAACATAAATTCTTTAACAACATAAATGCTGGTTAATAATCACTCTTTTGTCAGTTATACAAGACTGACTTTCTATCAGTTTGAGGTGAATGTGAAGTCAATTTGCTAATATTAGCATAATTTTGTTTCTCTTGCTTTTGTAAATCAAAAATTCAAATTGTTTTCTAACAACTGTCAGAATTGTTATTGAAGTTTTCTTTAGGATTCTTCCTGTTAACTACAATCCTCTTCACTATTTGCAGGTCTTGGCCACACCATGGAATTCTTATGTTCAATTTTTGAATTTAGGAAGAATGTGTGGGAGAAGCAACTGGAAATTGGGTTGGATATTTCAATGGCCTTGATGCTAACGTAAACAATCTTAAAAGAAAGACAGCGCTTGAGCAGTCAAGAGAATGACATAAATAAAGAAGCGACTAATGCAGAGCAACAGTCAAGGAAAAGACGAAAGAAAGAAGTCGAAGTTTGGCAAGATATGCGAGGGGTAAAGGGTGATGTCCAAACTTTGCAAACACAAGTGCAAGAAATAGTTGGATGGAAGAATGTCTTGTCATGTCACATGCACGGTTGGGAAAGCTGCTTGTGCAGACGATTCAAGAGGTGGAAGAAATGCAAGAACAGGGTTGGTTTTCTAATGGTTTACTAATTGATGATCCAACTAGTGGACAGTTCATACCAACAACGAAATCTTTTGGTAAAAACACAAGTGCAAGGAACATGGAGAAAGTTTGGGAATACTTCATGGATGATAAGGTTAGAAGGATTGGTGTTTTCAGAATGGGGGGAGTCGGAAAAACTATCATCATGCATCACATCAACAATCGACCATTGAATGAAACTTGTAAAGCATTCAACATTAGAAATCTACAGAGGCAGATAGCCAAGGCACTGAATCTTGATCCTTTGAATTATGGGGATAAAATAAGGAGCATCAAAATTACCTAACATGCTTTCCCAAAAGGAGAGACATGTGCTCATCTTTGATGATCTATGGGAAGCATTTCCTCTGTACAAGGTGGGTATTCCAGAACCAACCAAAGATATTGGATGTAAACTAGTGTTAACTACATGATCGTTCAAAGTGTGTATGAAGATGGAGTGCATAGCTGTCAAAGTGGAGCTTCTCACGGAAGAGGAAGCAATGAAAGAAATTGCAACAAAAGTTGCAAAAGAATGTGCTTGTCTACCCCTTGCAATCATTACTCTAGCTAGAAGTATGAGAGGAGTGAATGACAGTCACGAGTCGAGAAATGCACTAAATGAATTGATCAGCTCGACAAAGCAGATCATGGACAAAGACCGGGGTATCTGAGCAACTAAAATTTTAGTTATAGTCGCCTAAAAGATGAAAAGATCCAACATTGTTTCTTGTATTGTGCATTGTATCCAGAAGATCATATCATCCCTAAGAAACATCTCATAGAGTATTAGATTGCCGAGGGACTAGTAACTGAGATGGACAGTATGGAAGCAATGTTCGACAAAGGTCACACTATATTGAATAAACTCGTAAATACCTACTTGTTGGAGTCTTGCAAACATACGCAAGGAAGTACTCATGAGGTCGAATGATTTGAATAAACTTACGAAAAATAGCTGGTTGGTGAGTCTTACCGATGAAGATCGGGGAAAATATGTGACGATGCATGATTTGATCAGGGATATGGCTCAAAATAACATCAACTACTCCTTGATTCATGGTACAAGCTGGTGACGGTTTAGAAAGAGTACTATATGAAGACTGGTCTGAAGATCTTGATAGGGTTTCTTTAATTCACAACAACATAGATGAACTTCCTTCTAGACCACTCGTTTGCCCTCAGGTCGCCACCTTGACGATGAATGATTCGAAGTATTATGGATTCCAAACTCTTTCTTCACTCATACGCAGCGTCTCAAGGTATTGGAATTGTCCTTCACCGCCATAAAATCTCTGCCAAAGTCCATCTCTGCAATGCCAAAGTTTGGAAAACTAGAGTCTTGTGGTGCAAATTGTTGATAAAAAAGACCAAGATGACGAACAAGAGAAATACTATCCTGAAACAACAGAAGTTTGTATCTACAACTCTAAATATTTTAGAAGTACTGGTGTAGGTTGTGTGATGCTCCCCAGCAACATAGAGTTCTTGAACATTAGAAGATGGGACTATCACATTAGATGATCAGATATTCAATCGTTGAGGGACGTGAGAGATTTAATAAGATTTATAATTGAAGACTAATGGGCTTGAATCCATCTTTTCATCATCATCATCCTTATTAGAAGACTACCAAATCCCACTAAGAACGGTTGAGGAATTACGGTTTACTGATTTACCCAATTTTAGGGTACTCTTTGACAGAGTTGTTCCATTGCGCAACATTTCATTTAACCTTAAGAAATTGGATTTCTTTGCATGTCCCAGAATCAAATATATTTTCCCTACCAAGTTGTTGCAAAACTTCCAAACCTTAGGAACTTAGAGTGTCTTGGTGTAATAATGTGGAGGAGATAACAGTAGAAGAAAGATGAGTGATCGGGGCAAACGTCAAGATGATGGCAACACAATCACACTTCGAAATTTTTGGAGATTAGAAGTAGGAGATCTACCACGATTGAATAGCATATATAAAGGCATAATGGTTTGTGAATCTCTGCAAATTCATTCATGGGGGTGTCCCATGTTAAGTAGATTGCCTCTTTCTTCGCACATGGATGGTGAGCAAGCATCTCCACCACCTGCTCTTTAGCACATTTATAGAGGAAAAATGGTGGGAATCTCTGGAATGGGATGATCCCCACACCAAAACCACTCCAGTCTTTCTTCTCCAAAAGCTACCCAAGTAATTGTACTCATTGTTTTCATCAAATTTGATCTCATATAAAACACTCCAATCAACACTCCTTTTTCTTGGGACAAAATATTTTTGAAATATTCTAAACTTACCCTAAAACTTGTTTTAGCCATTTTGTATGAAAGAAAAGCATCCCTAATCGTTATTCTTTCTAAAATTTCAACAAATTTGAATAAAAATATCACTATGTGAAATTTAGTGAAGGATTTGATTCATCATTGATTTCGTGCAAAATTTGCCACTTAATTTGATTTCTAAAAGTTCGATGAAATGTTTGGAACTCATTTTTAACTCGTTATTCTTCAAACTTGAATTTGATGAAATAATTACCAACGGATTGAAGATGTTGTAAGAACATCTCCAACATTATATCTTTTTTTTCACCACATTCGAATAAAAATTCCGTTTGATATTGCATACTCCAACGGAGGATTTTGAACTTTTATCAAAACACTAGTCGACCAGACAGATGACCGGCTAGTGTAATTTTTTCACAAATTTTTGCAAGGAGGTAGTTACTCGGGGGACAACCGGCCAAACATCCGGCCGATCATCCGGTGGTGAAAATGACCTACAACTCCAACGACTATGAACAATGAATTGATGAAAGCTCCTGGCCATCCTCAATTTGGTAAAAGATTTAACATATCCTCGATTTGATACTTATCTGGTGAAACGATTGGAGCAGGAAAAGGAACCTTTTTTCATCAAATTTAAATGTTGGAGATGGTCTAACTTATAAAAATTTAAATTTTAAAAATAGTTTTTCTTTTTTCAAAAAATTTATTCATAACGACACCGAAAAAATACTCATGTTTTTATAATTTTGTAGTGTTACAGTGTGAAAGGCATGAAGGTTGCATACCATATGCGACTTAGTTTTCAGCCATTGGATTTGAGTGAATTGAACAAATATTTTACAAACTTATTACACCCCAATTCCCTCGCCGTTCTCTTCTCTGGTTTGTCTTCCCACTTCCTTTTGTGGAGATCAAACTTGCAGGCAGGCAGCAACGGGATTGAAGAGGTATGAAAAATTTAAAAGTCCTTTTCATCTACACAACTCATCCTCTTCATCTAAGCGTCTCTCTTTGTTTTGCAGACCACACCGGTGGACTCTTCTTCTCTCTCGGTCACACCCTTGCTCTCTCTTAGAGCAAGAGCTAAAATGAAGACGATGCAACACTGGCATATGGTTCTCAATTCTGTGTCACAAATCGTATTGAATCATATATCATAATTCCGTTCCGCTTTTTTCCTTTTTTTGTGACTTTCTTGAAAATAGGTGGAAAAGGTATAGAAACAAAAATGTACACAACACCAAAATTAGTATAAAGCAATTGATATTCAACTTCATGAAGAGTAATATGGGTCAAGAGTGCAAAGGTATGAATCATTAGTAGTAGTATCTTCAAATGAATATTAGAGAAAAATTAAATCAATTTAATAGAATGTCATATCATCGCACTATTCACCTTCCATTACACAAAATAAACTATTAAAAATCAATCTGGCATAATGAAATTTCACATTCAAACAAAGAACCTAGAAACTAACAAGGACGAAGACTAGGTAATGTCCTTTAATCTATCACATTAAAACTTAACTGATCCACAAGCATGACTAATACTAACTAGTGAGTAGCAACTACCCAGTAATTATATAATTAACAAACCAAAAATTTGAACTTCCAACTTGTACCTGCTAGTATGCCAAAAGGAAGCAATCAAGCAATATACGGGCTATACTTATATATACTTATATATATATATATATACACCTATGAGTCTACAACATGTAAGTTTCCATGCCCCCCGAATTCAAATTGTTCAAGTACAAAGCTCAACCTGACATCATATGTTCTAACTTATCATGTAGGATTGTAATACCTTATATTTATAAAAGGTGAGCACATGGGCATAAATCGGAAATTCTAACATATACTTATATATATATATACACCTATGAGTCTACAACATGTAAGTTTCCATGCCCCCCGAATTCAAATTGTTCAAGTACAAAGCTCAACCTGACATCATATGTTCTAACTTATCATGTAGGATTGTAATACCTTATATTTATAAAAGGTGAGCACATGGGCATAAATCGTTTGGATTTTCAAGGGAAGTTCGTTACTTGTTAAGACATTTTAATATGAGGAGGTACCAGTGGCAAGATCTCTCTCCATCTCTCTCTCTCCCCCTCTCAATAGAAGTGTAGGACCAGCCTAAGGCAGCGTGACCCAGGCAGATGTAACACCTTGGTGAAACCTCCATCTTTAGCCTCCAAGCCAAAAGGCCATAGTCTCTCATAGTGTATGCCAAAGACTACGATGTGCCTAGACCCTACCTTTAAATCAAAAGCTACAATTGGAAAGTACCAACAACACTATAGTAATTATAATTTGAATATAACATATTTTGAAAATTACAAATATTAGTCTTTTTGTTGAACTTATAGCACACTCCCTCACATGATGGTGACCACAAACGTGAAAAGGAAAGTAGTTAAATACAACAAAAAGGCTATAATAATCACTTACATTTTTCCTTAAAATTTGATCAACATTTGATATAGACTTGTACAAATTTGGATTCTTGTTTCTATTTAAAATTTTCTAGTAAACCAAACAAATCGAAGAGAAGTAACTGTTATTTTCTTTCCCTTTGTTTCTTGTACATGAACTCAGGCCCTGTTTGACACACTGGAATAATATAAGTTAGAATGGAGTGCAAGTTGGAATGGGAATGTAACATCGATCGGAATGAAATGGACACAGCCCATTCTCTTGATTGGTTGCTAAAATGAAATTATGTTTCCTATGGTTATGCTAATTAATAGTGCTATGATGTAATGAAAAATAAATGCATGGGCATGTTTGATTAGTAGGATTATAACATAGGATTGAGATTATTTGTCCATGGACTCACAATCCCATCTTTGATTGCAAATTTTATCAACCGAATGGAAGACATTCAATCTGACAAAATTGACGAATTTTTCATATTGAGAAGGGATAGGGATCATAATTTCAAGTATGAAAGAACAAAAATAAAATGAATACATAATAAATGGTTAATAACTAATCCTACACTTATTCATGGGATTATCAATCCTTTCACTATTAATCACGTTAATAAAACAATTTATCAAAAAAAAAAAAAAAAAACGTTAATAAAACAAGGCCTATATGTATGACTGTAATTATTTATCTATTCTATTCAAAAGTTTTGTCACATTTTTCCCCCCCAATAATACCCATAAAATAACTACTACACAGACTGCTAAAACAATTACAAATTCAACCCATCTTCATCATTCATCAAAATTTTAGATGTAAAATTACAATCACATCTCATTTATACTCACCGCTAGTATAGAACTCAAATTCATCATAATTAAAGTTCCCAGATTCGTTCCGAGACAAAGAGATAACAAAAAAATCAAATGCATTAAGAAAAACAAGAATTTGAAAAGAAAATAAACAATAACTTAAATTGAAAACCCTAACCTTGTGAGCTGATCGGAGAAATTGAAAGAGGAGTGCTTGTGGTGGTCAGTGTCGAAAAGGGAAGTGATCGTTGAGTTGGCGAGGAGAGCTTTTGAGTGCCGGCGATGGGTTCGAGTCGGTGGAGAAGGAGATGATAGAAGAGAAGATAACACAGGGGAGAGAGACGGAACAGGGAACCCTTTCTCTTTTTTTCTTTTCTTCGACAAATTACAACTGTAGTCCTCTAGTTCTTATACTTTTAATTGATTTAATTTTAATTTTAAATTTTATTTTAATTTAATCTAATTAATAATATTATTAGTATTTTTTAAAATAAATTATCACTAAATTTATTGAAATTAACTAATTAATAAGTTTATAATTTTATCCTTAAAAACATGACACGTAACATTTATATTCATATTTTTTATTTAAAAATAGTAAGAGTTGTAATCAATTAGATTAAATTAAGATAAATCATAAATTTAAGGTCAAAATCGAACTAATTAAAAATACATAAATTAAAATAATATAAGAAATAAAATTTAAAAACTACCGTCATAATTTATCCAATCTTCTTTTCTTTGGTCAAATTACTCCCTTCACAATTAGTTTATAAGTTACAATTAGGACAAACCAATTAAGGATGGTTTGATCATTCAAAAAAAAAAAAAATTAAGGATGGTTTGAGATTCGCTTATTGAGTGAATTTTTAGATTTTTTTATATAAATTGAAATAAATAAATGAATAAAACTTTACTCTTTTGAAAATTATTTGCAAACAAAAAAAATTTATGTGCACAGTAATGTTGTGTATAATTGCAGTTCTTACCTCATTCACAATAATGAGCTGACAGTGATATTTTTAAAATTGTAAGTCACTCACTTTAATAAGTTTTTTAATTTAAAATAAATAGACACACTTATGCTATCTCATTCTGTATAAACATTTTGCTTGAATTTTCTAATTGTATGTCATTACTCTTACTCTCTTAGTTAATGCACCACTCTAAGAAACTTTAGGGAAAAAAAAACACTCTAGAGGATCCTTGGTGATTGTCCGTATCACTTTACTCCTTACCAAAAATTTGGGCATTACTTTACATTTTTTATTATTTAAGCAATGATTTTTTTTATTTTTTGAAGAGGAGAAATTTTCATTAAGATCAGTCAAACGGTACTTACAAACTGAATCCATCCAACAAAATGACTTTACACCATACGAGGTAAAAATAACAAAGAAACGCCAAGGAAAAAAACTATGTAAATATCTAGACATAAAGCTTGCATTGCGAAGCAGACGCCGATCATAAGAGTTCGACAATAAAGCAAGTCTGGGATAATAGATTCAACCACAAAGAGGGTAAGCCACAATCAAGCACCGATAGACTCATCACACAACCAATAGATTATTGTGGTCTCTTATCTAATTGAGAAAAGAGAAGAAACGATGTGCTTTCTCACTCTCATATTTTAGATTGGTAAGAAAGCAAATCACATGGGAGAGTGATTTGAGTGAGATTTCTTTTTATTTTATTTTAATGGGTAATCTTATTTCTCATCAAATCTCATAACTTTTGATAAGAAATCATATAGTCAAAATAAGAGACTTCCCTTTCTTACACTTTGTCTTCATTTCTCATCTACTTAACCCTCCGAGCAAATGATAGAGTCTTATTTTCTCACCAAAACTATATGATCCAAACAAACTGTAAATCCTACAAATATTTAATTGTAGGATTATGAAACTCATCTTATTAGAATGATTTTATGTTAACTATTAATTGAAGTACATGACGTTTTCTTTACACTCCTAAATCACAAAAAATTATATTGTTTAACTTTATTAATTGATATTATTCTTTTTTTGTATAATTGATTAAGCTAGTTGTTGCAATAGTTAATTATTGAGCTATCAAACTGATCCTCTTCCTCTTGATTACAGATCCAAAAGAATAGTGTGGTGGAAGCAGTTGAAGTTATTACTAGGATAAAGTGCTACAAGTAGAAGTTATTTTGAATTGTTTTGTTGCGGCATTAATTGAATTATAGAACTCTGGCTTGCTTTGATGGAGGCAATTAATATTTGTAATATTTAGGTTTGGCATGGTCTAAACATTAAACTAGCTAAACAGAATTTGTGGATTGTTGTTGAAACTTTTGGTATTGTGAATTAAAGAATTACTGATTGTGATTTCACCTCTTGATTGCCATGATTATTTTGTGGAATGAAATTGAATTGAATTTCTCACCATCTCTACTCTGCATGCTCACAGGATGCAATTAGTCTTATAGGTGTACAATATTGTCACTTGCCTAGCTTGGTTGGCTATGTGACAATTATTCTTTCTTTGTTTTTCAATGTTGTATCGTTATTTTTCTGACCTAATGCAGGAAAGGCAACAGAAAGGAACTGCTATCATTAATTATGTGAAGGAGCATACAAACATCAATCTCTAATTTAGACAATTAAGATTGGTTTGTTTGAAAGAATAATCACAAGACAAGAGAGTTGATGACTATTATGCTCTAAAGAATGGCCTTTCCTATGTTTGCATCAAAATACTTGTGTTGGTTGCCCTTAAGACCCAACTCAATTAATTTTAGGTATACCCTAGGTAAAATTTCTCACCCATTATGTTAGGTTTGCACAAACTCTCTATTTGATCCGTTAATAGGGAAGGGTGAATACGATTTGGCTTAAATGTTTTCAAATTTTAATTTTATTGTCGACTAATTAACCATTGTTCATTCTACTTGGTCTAAAAGAATGGTGGTGCCTGAAAAATCATGGCCAAAAGTTGTTGCAAGCTTAAGTTATGGGGATTAAGAAACAATTGGAACATTGATTTCTTATCGAAAAATAATGGGTCCAATTATAACAAAAAGTGTAGCACGAGGTTTAGTTGTTTGTAATAGGTGAAAAGTCAGTTTGATCAATATCTACTAATTAGCTATGTAAGCAGAGAGTTTCATAATGCTCTGCACATCAACAAAAACAGAGCAATACTACAAATGGCAATTGGATGAGAACCTTTTGTTCTTGTATGGTGACCCAACTTATAACAGATCAATAATATAACTTAAAACTTTCAGAGCACACTAGCATATAAATTCGGATGGTAGGGAACCTTGTTTCCAAATTTGGATGGTCTTGTCGCTACTGCAAGGGGCAACAGAACTCCGACGTAGTAGTAGAAAAAGAGAGGAGAAGGGGAGAGGAGGGATGGGGTGGGGTCGGAAGTGAAGGAGAGTGAGTAACTACGATGGTGACTGTGGTATCTTTTCTCTCTCTATCTTTGTTTCTCTTTTCACACTTTTTTTTTTTCACCAAAACAATGTCAGTTTAGTGAGAGAGTGATCTCAAAAAGGCCTAATGGGATTAGATCCTAATGAGCCGAGCCCTCAGAGGTCACCCTTAGGTAGTAGGGTCACTCAACCACGTAACAGTAAATTGCGGACTCGCACATAGGCGGGGATTCTGTTGTCTCATTTGTGAATTTAAATACATAGAGTCATGATAACATAAATTAAAACAAAAAACACATGTTGGACATTATGACTAGATTAAACAGAAATACATGATACAACAAAATGGTAGAGAAATCAAACCGAAGCCTGCACGGAAGCCGTTTCCTTAAAACAGATTAGCCGCCTCACCATGGGTGTTGGAGGTATGTCGACATCTGTCTCCCAGGATACGACGGTCAAAACCAGCTAATGCAAAAGCACTTTCTGAATAGCTTCGGCGAACTTGATAATGGTTGCACTCTCTCTAACAAGAACCAAAAAAGGGACTAGTAAAAGAAGATAGGAAAATTTTCTTTGGTGTAAAACCATCTCCAACTCTTGATCAAAACACCATCTCTATTTTCCATAAAAAAAAAAACTCTTAAAACTTATATATTTCAAATTGAAGGGGAAAGGCCTCTATTTATACAAGTAGGGGAATCCCTAGCCATAAAGGCTATACATAAATAGGCTCATCAAATGCCATTAACCATGGCCGTCAATTCTAGCCATTAGGGCTAGAGTTACAAAGGTTGAAAACCTATGGCCACTAATATGGTCATCAACTCCATCATCAAAAGATGAGAGTTACAAAGGTCTTAACCTCCCATGTGCTTAATAGATACAAATAAATATATATATATAATGATGTTTGAATAAACCAACTAGATGGGTTACACAATGGATACCAATGTTGGGTCACAATCCGATCCAAACCCAATTCTCAAACACATGCACAAGCTAAGCCCAACACAACATAACTTAGCTCAAGCTTAAGATTAAGTCCAAGTCTAAATCCAAGACCAAATCCAACACATGCACAAGCACAAGTACAAGTCTAGGCCCAGTCTAAACTAAGACTGAGTTCAAATCTAAGCACAACTTTTATTGATGCCCACTTTATGAGACAATTCTCATTCACACCTCAATGGTGTCGGCCCATCAGTTTTATATTATAATGCTCTCACTTGAGAGAATGCAAAACTACTCAGACCCACCTCAACGGGCGGTTGGGTCCCACTTTAATTTCAAATTAAAGTTGTCGAAAAACCATTTTTTTCCAACAGATTCGAACCTACACTATCTGACACTGGGTACAGTTCGTCTAGGTCTGGAAGGTTCGTCATACCAACTGTATGTGCTGTCGCCCGTGTGACTTACCCTGAAGAAATCTAACATTTCAAGACTTATACCTTAAGACCTTACTTAAGGAGTGATCTAAGTCCTTTGTTTTAATAGTGATAGAATGAGAGGTGTATAATAGTGGTCATTTATCTTTTATTTTTTAAGATGTCGTCTTATTACAAGATTACAAATATATGATTAATTTTATTTTTTCATAAATAATCTACTAAATGAATCTTATAACATAAATCATTCGCATCATAAAAAATAAGTTCAAAATAATCTCCACTGAAACTCACCGCAGTTACTAGTCACAACAATAACACTAGGCCTATGGTGTGAGGGAGAAGGCTAAAATTATTTGGGGTTTGTTATTTTTTGTGGTTTTCTTAATTGATTTATTTTTGTTTTAGTAAATCTTTTTTAAATTTTTTTTTAAAGTTTCTAGATAATACTTGACAAAGCGAACTAGAATATAATGAAAAAATAAAAAGTCTAGAGAAAACTAAAAAAAAATTAAAATAGTTGACTTCTTGTTTCATTATGGAGTTTTTATTTTTTTAAAATTTTCAAACAAAATTACTTTTAATATCCGTTTACACAAAATAGACTGCAGAAATAAATTTGGCATAATTTTTAAAAGAAATCACTTAAAACAAAATAAATGGAAAAAAAATTGACACTTATTTAAAATTTTCAACTAACCACTGAATTATTAAAAGCAACTCTATATTCCACAGGATGAACAATATCTTTGCCTTTTTTTTTTTTTCCTGTAGTGAAATTTTGAATTTTCATTACTGTGGTTTTGGATATTATTTCACATCATTCAACACATCAGACTTGTGTATCCCATAAATTAAACAAAAAAATTAGAGTGGGTATTACTTGGGAAGAAGAGAAAATAAATTATTAATATATGAGGAGTGCAAGTGACATTTATACCTTACAGTCTTTCATTTGTACACCATTATATATACACTTACACTTTTTATGTGTTGGTAATTTTTTTCTCTACTCCTACCTGCATGTAGTTTCTCCAAAATTTAGATTCTACTGTATTGATCAATAAAAATTAGGGTAAATGTCCATTGAAATTTTTAATTTCATAACAAAAAATTTATTTTATTGAAAAATTATTAAGTCAATTAATATTTTATGTCAAGATTTTATTTCAATTAACAATTCAGGTAATTTTATCATTGTATAAAAAAACAATAAGAAATTTTATTTTTTTAATTAATTCAGTTAAATAAAAAGAAACTAATAATAAAATTTTTAAAATTATAAGAAATAATTCATATTTTAAATAAATTTTTAAAAATATATTTATAATTTACCTTAAAAATAAAGTTAGAGCATCACATGACCCAGAACGACAAATAATTTTCCGAATTTTCCTATTCCTTTCCCCCACTATCACGTCGTTATTAATCAAACTTGCTTTTTAGCACTATAACCACCCATTCGCTCTCCCTCAAATTTTCCATAGTCCTTGCTTCTTTTTTGGTTCAACACTTTCTCCATTAGATATTTCCAACCCCTCAGAAGAAGCTACTGGCTTTTTTTTTTGCTTTTATGTTTTGCAACAAACATGGTATGAAAACTCTTGGTTTTATTTTATTTTTTACTTTATCACTTTTCCATTGTCAATGTGATCTTGTCCGCCTGATTTTTTTTTTTTTAAAACCATTTTAAGAGCTTAATTTAAGGAATTTTTAAGAATGTAACCATGTGTGTTATTCTTTTCTCTTTTTTTTTTTTTTTTCTCTTTTTTTTTTTTTTCTCTCTCTTTGTTTTTTTTTTAATTTTTAATTTTTACAGATTCTTCTCGGAAAGCATCCTGGTTTCTCTCTGGCTTGAAAGGTAAATTGTTTAATATCATCTTTTTTTCAAGAATATATTTTTAGTATAGTAGTATATGCAGGCCTTCTTTTTCTTCTTCTCTCTCATTTTTTTTTTCTTGGGCAAATTACATCGGTAGTCATCCATTTTGCTCATTGTGTCATTTTGGTTCATATAATTTCAATTAGTTCAATTTTGTTCCTTAATTTTTAATTTTGTATCAATTTAATCCAATTTATAACATCCAGGTTTTTGAAGGAAAATGTTCACTAACTCGGTTGAAGTTATTGAATTGAATACGCATAAGGCATGTCTTTTATGTGCGCATTTTCCATAAGAAAAGAAAAGAAAAAGAAAAGCCACTCACAATTTAATTAATTGGACTAAATTGAGACAAAATTATAAATTTATGTCAAAAGTGACCCAATTAAAATTACAGGGATCAAAAGAAGTATAGGAACTACCATCGTAACCCTTTTTTTTTCCTTCTTTTCTCCTCATTTATTTTAATGTATTATATGTGGATTTTATCCATCGTCAACTAAGAAAGAAAATCTTCTTAATGTATCATGATTCTAAGCCCTCTCTAATTAAAATATCAAAATCATTTCTCACACCATTCACAATCAAAATAGAAAGAATTGATTTAAAGCCCTCTTTAAGCTGTGTTTGGATCATATTTCACACACTTTTTTCTTTTTCCTTTCCAAAACCCTACAAAATCCATGATCTTTGACACAACCTTAACATCAATTGTTCGCTTTCACTGCTGCTTTTGTTGTTTTATGGGTTTTCTTTAACCCCATTGTGTGTGATAGCCAATTCTGTTATATTTTTATAAAGTTTAACCTTAAATAATTTCATCTGAAATCCACTTACCTAGCAGAAGGTACTTGAATTTTACTAAGGCCTAGACATGCTATTAACATTACATTGTGTCTGCTCTTTTTAGGAGTAAAACGAAATATTCCCTCCGTCCCAAAATAACTTTTTTGGTAGTATAATTATTACACTTTAAAAAAATTGATTTTTCAAAATTACCATTTGATAGTATATTTTTTGGAGAAAAATTGTCATAATTGTACTTTTCGTGTTGTTAATGAATTTAAAAGAAGGGCCAAATAGGAATCCATATTATTTTAGTTCTTGATTTTTGAAAAGAGACTAACATTTTGAGACAATAAAAAATGAAATAAGGGACTAATATTTTGGAATGGAAAGAGTAACAAAAAGTGGAGAACTTTGATGTTATGCCACCCATTGAATCGTGGCTCACAATAAAACATCTTCGTATTACAAATTATATTTTAACAGAGCCAAGCTTGTATGGATACCCTGTCTAGTCATTATCTTAAAATATTTTTACTATGAATTTAGGTTTTCTCACCCAATCAAGTCCTCTAATAAGTACATAATATCTTAAATTTATGCAACTTTCTTAGTCTGGAAACTCTTACGTTGTGTTTGGTTGGGGGATTTGGGAATGGATTTAGGAAGGGAAAGGGAAAATATAGATGAAATGTGAATAAAACATACCTACATTTCACCTAGTTTCACACACCTTTTCCTTTTTCCTTTCCAAATCCCTTCCAAAATCCCTCAATCAAACTAAGCCGTTAGGGGTGACCATTGGTTCAACAGTAAAACCTTGGCCTAATAACCTTGAGGTTATGAGTTCAAGTTTCGGGGCAACCACTTTCTGTACTATACCAAAGGTTAGGTGTGTATCCAATCTTTTCCCTCCCAAACACACATTAATGTGTACTATTGGACGTTGTTTTTTTTTATAGATTTAAAAGGAAGAGGGAAAAATGTGAGTGAAATGTGAATGGAATATAGCTACATTTCACACACCTTTTCTCTTTCCGTTTCTAAATTCTTACTCAAATCGATGATGCAAAGAGTCTTAGGGTTTGGTCAAAAATGCTCGGTCTCCCAAATTCCGCCATCCATTTTTAATGCATTCTCAATTATTCTCAATGCACATGAATCTCAATATATTATCTAACAATTGGAGTGTAATAAGATGGAGTTTGGGACAAGAGGATTCCAGTACCAATATTTATTTATTTTGTTTGTTTGTGTTGAGTAGACAGAGACCCTAGACCATAATGCTCTATTTGGTTCATTAGAATGAGATGGAATAGAATGGAATGGTGATTCTTTATTTTCATGTAGAATGACCATTCTCTTAATATGGTGAAAGATGATTTTCATTTGTAGTGCATTTATCATTATTTTCTTAGTTTAACCAATTATGAGAATGAATATTTTGATGGAATTATCATTCCATTCCACTTCATTCCAATGAACCAAATACTACCTTATTGTTTATGGTTGATCTTGATACCTAAAATATTGTAATTGGATCAAGTTGCTTATATGAGAATAATTTTCTTTCTCTTGCTTTTGTAAATCAAAATTCAAGTTGCTTTTTAACAACCATCATAATTGATATTGAAGTTATGTTCAGGATATTTTGGTTTCAACTAATATCCTCTGCAACTTCTATATTTGCAGGAACTTAAGTGACCACACCATGGAATTCTTACTTTCTATTTTTGGACCTGTGAAGAGTTTTGGGGAAGCAACTGGAAAATGGATTGGATATATCAATAGTCTTGATGCTAACATGACAAATCTCAAAAGAAAGCTGGATGACTTGAGCAGCCAAGAGGATGATATAAATAATGAATTGAACTGTGCAGAGCAGCAGTCAAGGAAGAGACGAAAGAAAGTAGTTGATGTTTGGCTCAGAGATGTGCAAATGTTAAAAGTTGATGTGCAAACTTTGCATACACAAGAGAAAATAGTAAGATAGATGGATGTCTTCTCACGCGCACGGTTGGGAAAGGTTGTCATGGAGAAGATTCAAGAGGTGGAAAAACTGCAAGAAAATGGTAGTTTTTATAGCGATCCCGGGTTTACCCTTGTTGTACAGTGATCCGGACATGTGTCCGTGGATGTTGGTAGTTGTTTATTATCTTGTTTGCATCCTTTTTACTTCTTATTGAGTTATAGGATGTGTTGGGCAGGTTTGTTTTAGGGCATTTTGCTTTTGTTGTTAACATGTAATACTTATGTAATAAGACTCTGAACAAATGGAAGAATATGGTTATTTCATATGTTAATGAATCTCTTAATTGATGGGTTTAATGTTATTATTTTGAGGGCGTTACAGTTTTTCTGATGGTTTGCTAATTGAAGATTCAACTAGTGGACAGTTCATACCAACAACAAGATCTTTTGGTCAAACTACAAGTGCAAGGAACAAGGAGAAAGTTTGGAATTGCTTGATGGATGATGAGGTTAGAAGGATTGGTGTTTTCGGAATGGGGGGAGTTGGCAAATCAACCATCATGCATCACATTAACAATCAACTCGTGAATGAAACTTATCACTTTGATGATGTTATTTGGGTCATAGTATCTAAAGCATTCAACATTAGCAGACTACAGAGTGAGATAGCTATAACACTGGATCTCGATCTTTCCAAGTATGAGGATGAAACAAGAAGAGCATCAAAATTACATAAAATGCTTTCCCAAAGGAAGAGGTATGTGCTAGTCCTAGATGATCTATGGGAAACATTTTCTCTGGAGAAGGTGGGTATTCCAGAACCAACCAGAGATAATGGATGTAAACTAGTGTTAACTACACAATCGTCAGAAGTGTGTAGGAGGATGGAGTGTAGAGAGATCAAAGTGGAGCTTCTCACGGAAGAGGAAACACTGAATCTATTTATGACCAAGGTTGAAGAACATCAGATAATGCTTGCTCCAAAAGTGAAAGAAATTGCAACAAAAGTTGCCAAAGAATGTGCACGGCTGCCCCTTGCAATCATTACTATAGCTGGAAATATGAAGGGAGTAAATGACATTCATAAATGGAGAAACGCATTAAATGAATTGATCAGCTCAACAAAAGAGATCTGGGATGATGATAGTGTGGTGTTTGAGTAACTAAAATTTAGTTATAGTCGCCTAAAAGATGAAAAGCTTCAACATTGTTTCTTATATTGTGCGTTGTATCCAGAAGACCATCGAATCTTCAGGGAAAAACTGATAGAGTATTGGATTGCTGAGGGACTAATAGTTGAGAGATGAAAAGTATAGAGGCAATGTTTGACAAAGGTCACACTATATTGGATAAACTCATTAATACCTGCTTGTTGGAGAGTCCTACCAACATAAATGATCAGGGACAATATGTGAGCATGCATGATTTGATTAGAAAGATGGCTCTCAAAATAACATCAACTAATCCTCGATTCATGGTACAATTTGGTGAAGGTTTAGTAAGAGTGCCATATGAAGACTGGTCTGACGATGTTGAGAAAGTTTCCTTTATGTACAACAAGATAGAAGAACTTCCTTCTAGACCACCCATTTGCCCTCACCTCGTCACCTTACTACTGAAAAAGAATTATTCAGAAGTATTACTTATTCCAGATTCTTTCTCCATGCATATGCAGCATCTCAAGGTATTGGATTTGTCCAACACCAAGACACAGTCTTTGCCAGAGTCCATTTCCAAGTTGGAGAATTTGCATGCACTGTTACTAATTGATTGTCCAACCCTAAAGTATATGCCATCACTGAAGAAACTAAAGGCATTGAAAGAGTTGAAACTGACTAAAAGTAAGATTGAAGAAGTGCCCCAAGGTATAGAAGAATTGGTGAATCTTAGAAATCTCGACCTCTCATGGAATTATAGCCTACATATGTTTCCTTGCTGGAAGTTACGCAGACTCACACGACTCCAATGCCTTAGAATTAAGAGAACAAAAGTAGATGTGTCAGCATAAGAGCTGTTGTGCTTGAGGCGATTAAAAGTTCTCAAAGCTCAATTTCACAATGTGCAAGAGCTTACTAGTTATGTGACATCATAGCAATTCCAAAGTTTGGAGAGTTACAATGTTGTGGTGGGAATTGTTCATAAAAATGACATACACAACGAACTATATGAATACAATCCCAAAGCAGGAGAAGGTTGTAGCTATGAGACTAAATCTTTTGTAAGTATTGGAGTAGATTTTGCAGTGGCCCCCAGTGACATAGAGTCCTTAAACATTATAAGATGGAACAATCTGATTAGCTTATCAGACATTAAGTCGTTCTAGGATGCGAAAGATTTAAGAAAATGTGAAATCCGAAGCTGTAATGGGCTTGAGTCCATGTTCTCATCTGCATGCTTCTCAGAAGACCACCAAATCCTACTAAGCGCAGTTGAGGAATTATGGTTTGAAGATTTACCAAATTTTAGGGTACTCTTTGATGAAGTTATTCCACCACACAACATTTTTTCCTCTAACCTTAAGAAATTGTACTTCATCAGATGTTCCTCTATCAAGAATATTTTCCTTGCGAAGTTGTTACGAAACTTCCCAAACCTTGAGGAACTTGCAGTGTCTGAATGCAAGAATTTGGAGAAGATAATTGTAGAGGTAGAGATGAGTGATCCGGGGGCCACCATCAAGATGGCATTGGCAACATATTCGCACTTTGAAATTTCAAGTATTTAATATTAACAAATCTACCAAGGCTGAAGAGCATCTATAAGGGCATAATGGTATGTGAATCACTGCAATATATTCGTGTATGTGATTGTCCCATGTTAAGGAGATTGCCTATTTCTTTGCACATGAATGGTGATGGTGAGCAAGCATTTGCACCACTAGTTCTTAAGCACATTTATGGGGAGCAAGAATGGTGGGAATCTCTGCAATGGGATAATCTCCATACCAAACCCACTCTTCAGCCGTTCTTCTCCAGCAGATGACCAGGTAATATCGTAATATCATGTCAGATTAAAAATATAGCAAAAATACTTGCAAAATTGTCAATTAGCCAAAACACATCTGCATTGATTATTTGTGCTATGTGATGCCAAAACTTATAACACAAAAGTTTCACATGACTAGGTTGGAATTAACATTGTAACTCTCATAATATTTTGGATATAGCAAAATACTACTAGTAAACACATACTAGGTTACTAATTATCATTGTTGATTACTTTGACCTTATTTTTCATTTTTTTGCAAATAAAAACACTACTTGGCATGACCCTAAGAGCATTATATTCAGTTTTGAATAAGGTATGGGAGTACTTAAACAAACAAACAAACAAAAAAGGAAAAGAGGAGGGGGGGATAGGTACTGAAACTAACCACATAAAGTATACAAAACATTTGCATAAGTATAGATCTCATAATTTGTGGGACACACACACATGTAAATGTTTTGTGTAATTATTTATGATAAAATTTTGTATTCTTAGAATCACTATTTTTATGATCTTGTTGAATTCCTTGTTTACAGATTTCGGCAATTCGTGAAGTCGTTGAGTTTGGATTCTTTTCACTACAATGAAGGAGGTACGTCATCTCATACTCCACATCTAGAATTTCTTTTAACTGCATATTTTGGTTTGAAAATGTTTAAACATTGAGTTATGAAATTACCTCATTGTTATGGATACAATAATCTCTCCAAAAATGGGGTAAGGTTGCATATATTTTGTCCTCCCAAGATCCTATTTTAGAGGAAGTCTTGTGTGTTGAGTTGCCTTTTTTTTCTTTAATTGTTATGGAAATATTTTATGAGATCATTGTGGATTCACGTACTTTATCTAGGATATGAATCTAGTTTGACAATAATGTGGACCCTAAGCGAGTAGGGGTTAAATATTAACAAATAAGTTACTTTCTTTTAATCTTTGACCAAGGAGCTAAATTTGGTTTTGGCTTTTGTCACTCGTTACTATCGCTGCATTTGCAAAAACACGAGTTTGTGTATCAAAGCGTTGAGTTTTGGATTGTTCATATTATATTATTATTTGTGTATATTGAATAGTAAATCCTATAACTTTTAAAATTGTATGATTATCGAATTCACCTTATTGGAATGATTTTACATTAAATGTTAACTAAAGTGCATGACATTTTCTTTACAATCTTGAATCACAAAAGGTTTATGAAAAATCCGTGTTGTTTAACTTAATTAATTAAAAATATTCTTTTTCCATATTCTAGATTTGGCTAGTTGTGACAGTAGTTACTTATTATTGAGCTGTCAAACTTATTGTCTTCTTCTTGATTACAGATCCAGATGAATTGTGCGGTGGAAATTATGATTGTGATGGAGTGCTACAAGTAGAAGTTATTTTGAATTATTCTGTTGAGACATCAGTTATTTATACTATAGAACTGCAGTTGACATTGATGGCGGCAATGAATCTTTGTAATATTGAGATTGTGGTACTCTGTTTAGCATGCTCTAACTATTGAACTCTACCAAAACTGAATTTGTGGATTGTTGTTGAGACTTTTCTTATTGTGGATTAAAGTATTACTATATATTGTGATTTTAACTCCTAATTGCCATGATTATTGTGGAATGAAATTGAATTTAGTTACTCACCATCTCTGCATGCTCACAGGGTGCAGTCAGTCTTATAGGTATGCGACATTGTCATGTGCCTAGTTTGGTTCGCTTTGGGGCATGATGATTATTCTTTCTTTGTTTTTTTCAAAATTGTATTATTATTTTCTGACTTGATGCAGGAAAGGCAACATAAAGGAACTGTTATCATTAATCATGTGATGTAGCAGATAAACATCAATCTCTAATTCAAGAGAGTTGGTAACTATTAGTAGTGAAATTGCTCTAAAGAATGGTCTACCCTATGTCTTTCCATCAAAATCTTACATGCATGTCAATTTGATTCTGTTTCAGATATATAATACATGTCAATGTCAGTAGTGACATTAGTGTAATGACTTTGCTGCTTGCCCTTAAGGCCCAACTCAACTAATTTTAGGTATTCCCTAGAGAAGAAGAATGGTGTGAATCTCTGGAATGGGATAATCCCCTCACCAAAACCACTCTTCAGCCTTTCTTCTCCAGCTACTAGTGAGGTAATATTTAGGGTAAATTACAAATGCACCTCCTGAGGTTTACTTAAAATACAGATTGCCCTTTATAAAA